AAAAAAAAAAATCAATACCTTCCACAGCATTTTCCAGCTGGTTTATCTACACATGAAAAGAGGAAGGCTACAAATTTTCTCCTTAAAAACCTAAACAGCATATGAAATTAAGCAAAAGCCTAGGAAGTATCAGAACAGAGTTACACCAGCCGCCACAGCTAAGAGCACTGAACACAGCCAAAGATTAAGATACTCAAAAAACCACCAGATGATGTCCACAACAGTGAACATAAAAATTTCAGCAAACATCACATTTTAAACATTCTCCCTCCTGCATCAGTAGCGTCTCTCAGTGCAGCTTATTTGCAGGTTGCATGCAAGGAAAAGAATGCAAGTCTTGTATATATATAAAAAAAAAAAATTAAATTAAACGCCCACAACCTCTATGAGAGGAGACTATCAGGAAAGAAGCAACAATACATTCTTTTTAAAGCAAACAAAAACCTTGCCACCTTCAGCCAGAATCCTCAGCTATCCCGTTATATGGATGTTTTTGGATAAATGTGGCATCAAGGGAGGAATTCACAGCCCCAGAATGAGACTCAGTGGGGGAAGGTGGCTGAAAGTTCAGCACATGCTGCGCGTGCTACAAAACTCCTCGCTGAGCAGATCCTGCAGGATTCAAGCAGCATCCCCATGAAGTGCTTCCCCCCGGCTGCATGCGAGGGCGCGGGCACGGTCGGGATGCACTTGGAGAAGAGAAAAATTTGCTGCAGAACAGGGCTGCTGGATAACGGCCCAACACTGGAAACACAAGCCTTACGACCTCCACGCTGCTGCACGTTCCAGGGCGACGCTGGCAGAGTCAGAAAAGGTAGTAGACAACTGCCCCACATCTCTGTCAGAGAGGATTGTAACGGGGACTTCTCAGTCAGAAATGGTTTAACTGAACAAAGCCAGCTTGTCCTCAATACTGATTAAATGGAGCCTGAGCCAAGAATAGGGTTTTACGGACAAAAATAAGATTCTGATTCACTTTCCTGGGCATTTATGATCTGTCACAGCAATGACCACAGAACAATAATGACATCTTTGCAGCTTAACACCCTCCTTAGAAGCAGATAAAAATAGAAAATGGTTATTATTGGAACCAGTCTTCCAATTTATCGTCCGGTCCTCAAAACTACTGTGGCTGCTCTATCCCTCGCATGAGACAGGGAGAGGAAAAGGCTGATGGAAACTCCTTACTCATTAATGGCAATGAGTGGATAAGGGGTGAAATACGGCGCGACAGGGAGTAGGGGTCTGCAGCGCTGCAAGCTTAGAACGACAAGCTTTACTCATTGTACATGTGGTGCAGGACAGGTCCTGTCCCGACACGACTGACCCGCTGGACTCTCGAGTTCGGCCAGGCTCCAGGAACAAGCGTCATCCCCCGCTCCCGGCGTCGGCACCTCACAGCCGGTCCATCCTGAACGTGTCCTCTGTGGCGGGGTCGGTGAGGACCATGTCTGGGTCGTTCAGCATGTGCAGTCCATCCAAGGTTAAAGGGTCAATTTTGAGTTCATCCAGAGGGAACTGGGAATCCGTGTCAAAGCTGACGTCTCCCACTCCTGCCAAAGAGCTGGTCAGTTCTTTTGATAAGCTGGGAGGAGATTCTCCTGTCACTGCAGGGAAAATGAGAAAGGTGTCGGCAGGACTCAGCAAATACACATTCACCAGGCAGACAGGGCATAAAACAGCTTGCAAAAATCCTGGAATAATTTGCTAAACTAAGGCTGAGGTTCAAACAAGAAACCTCTATCCCCATTCCCTGCTGGATGAATTACAGATTTGTCAGAGCATCTCAAACACATCACAATGACCCAACACAAAACAAAATTCATATTTAGGAGCCACAAAGGTGTCACTTGAGTCTCTCCCCCTTCGGTTTAGGAGGAATAACCTTAATTTATGTGATTCTCATCAGCAAGAATCCTTGGCTGAAGTATGGACTGAACTACAGTTTTCTCAGTGGCCTGTACAGAAATTCTTTCCAAATGTCCAACTGTGACCAGATTCGCTACCATATGTGACACTAAAAAAAATCCTTTGTTGGCAAGCTCGAGCAGAGCAGCAGAGGAAGAAGTTCAGCTTTCACCGCTTCTCCCTCACTGTGGCAGAGGATCCAGTAAATTCAGAGGCAGGGAAAAATCTGTAAAATAATTAGTGCTGCCATTGCAGCTCTACCCGTTTGCTGGGATTAAACGAGGCCATGGGGCTCCCCAGCACTCAGGAGATACACCAGGGCACTAACATGAACCTTTACACCAGGTGAAACAAAACCTTCATCCCTATTGCTTTCTTGGCTTGAAGGGAGTTGTTGCACAACAGAGAAACATTGACACTTGGGATGCTTTTACCTGCGGGTTAAGTCTGTGATTTTTCTTACCTGTAAGAATGATGTTGGGGATGTTTCCATGGCTGGAGTAATTCAGCTGCTGCGAGTCCTGCAAGCTGCCATGACTGCCAGTGAGTCCCATCATGGCGGCCTGGGAGTAGTTAAGGGTGGAACAAGGGCTGTACAGGCTGTTGGAACTAATGGCGTTTTCTATCATGTTAAACTGTTCAAGCTGAAGACCAAGGCACAAAGGAATTGTTACTTGTAAGCACGAAGAAATACAGCAAAACAACTTACAAAGCTCAAGTACGGGAAGTAACGTTGAAAGAGACAGGCAAACAAATTCATCTTTAGGTTTCGTTGATCAAATGTGGTCTATTTTCACTTAAACTTTCCGGAATAGTTTACTGCCAAATTCGGAGTGCAGGGGAATGAGGAGGGGGTGGATGCAAAAATAAAATTGCTGCTTTCGATATCGTAAGAACAAAAGAAAAGGTAGCTTTAAAACAAAGTGAAAAAACTCATAATTCATGCTACTAACTCAGGGATCTGCCCATCAAGCACCACCTCTCAGAAGCTGACTTATTTTTCCCTGCTACCAGAGCATTTTGCACAGTCGAACAGATCGATGCACTGGTTGGCTGAGCTCACAAAGGCAGGGGTCTGCTTGCTAGGTTTTGGTACCATGCATGAGCTGTTTGCCAAATTCAGGAGTAAATATTATTACCACCTACAAATGAATCCTTCCCAAACGTAACTATGGCCAGAGATGTGGGGGCTTTTTAATCTCCTTTCATTATTTTTAATCCAATAAACTTGGCAGAACACCTTTACAAACATCTGCTACAATGGCTAAGAGGAAGGAAGGGGAAGAAAGGGGGAGAGGGGGAAATAAAAATTTAAAAAAAAAAAAACAAAAAAGAAAACAAATCCCTGTGTATTGCAAACTAAAAATAACAGAAGTAAAACTATATGGACAAAATGTGATTTCACATATAATAATCAGAAGTTGATCTATAGTTATTTTAAGCTGAAAGTGGCCGAAACATAGCTGAAAATCTGAGATGAATTTGCTCACCTGATGGGATAGGGCATTAGCCTGCCTAGCTGTCATCTGCTGATCATAATAGGAGTCACCAAATACACTCCCCAGAATGGAAGAATGCTGAAAACAAAACAGAGTCTTTATGGTGCAAAAATCTCACAAACAGACGTACCCACGGTGTGCGAGTGACTCGAGCCTTCCGACCGATTCTTCTCACAGTTAGTTAGCAGTGCCCTTCATCATTAACAGCCACTAACCACCAGCAAATTCAAACCACAGTCAGTATTCCCCTCCAACACACAAATCCTTCCATGTGACGCTGCCTCTTGGTAAGCACAAAAATACAGTCAAGTAAACCAAACAAACTTCCTCACGGAGGACATACAACACAGAAAACTTCTGATTTATGAAAACAGACGAGTGCGCTAGGTAACACGAGAAACAAAAGAAAAAAACAAAAGCAATCTGCAACTTCAGCTTTTTTTTGGTGAACTTTTTGTGTGTGTGAAAGACAAACCCCACAGAGAAGTAAGCTGCACGTTAAAACAATACGCAAAGCTGATCACCAGCACGCAGGCAGTGACCGCTCGCTGTCCCTGCGACCTCGTGTTCATGGAACAGCCACCGAGACAACAACGTGCCAAAACAAACCTGACGTTTTAAAGTCATTTCTCTTCAGCTGCAGCTCAGAAAAATTAACGAGGAAGCCCAGTGAAGCATGTTATCAGCAGTTCAAAGGCAAGAATCTCGGGAGGAATTCCTCGGCCTTGCTAATTTTAATGTCCCCTCTATCACGACAAGCATAAGTTATTCTCCATCATTTATCAATTATTCTAAAGGTGACCAAGAAGTCAAGGTCAATGTTTTAATACTATTCACACTGTCCCATAGAATTGCCAGATATAAAAGAAATCACAGAGAGATCACTCCTTATTTAAAACTCACAAATCCTGATATTCCAACTGAAAAACCTCACCTGCTGACAGAGCACCTATAAAAGATGGTGTCTATAAAAGACAATTTACATGGAGTTTGTATCAATCTTGAAAAAAAAAAATCAATACCTTCCACAGCATTTTCCAGCTGGTTTATCTACACATGAAAAGAGGAAGGCTACAAATTTTCTCCTTAAAAACCTAAACAGCATATGAAATTAAGCAAAAGCCTAGGAAGTATCAGAACAGAGTTACACCAGCCGCCACAGCTAAGAGCACTGAACACAGCCAAAGATTAAGATACTCAAAAAACCACCAGATGATGTCCACAACAGTGAACATAAAAATTTCAGCAAACATCACATTTTAAACATTCTCCCTCCTGCATCAGTAGCGTCTCTCAGTGCAGCTTATTTGCAGGTTGCATGCAAGGAAAAGAATGCAAGTCTTGTATATATATAAAAAAAAAAAATTAAATTAAACGCCCACAACCTCTATGAGAGGAGACTATCAGGAAAGAAGCAACAATACATTCTTTTTAAAGCAAACAAAAACCTTGCCACCTTCAGCCAGAATCCTCAGCTATCCCGTTATATGGATGTTTTTGGATAAATGTGGCATCAAGGGAGGAATTCACAGCCCCAGAATGAGACTCAGTGGGGGAAGGTGGCTGAAAGTTCAGCACATGCTGCGCGTGCTACAAAACTCCTCGCTGAGCAGATCCTGCAGGATTCAAGCAGCATCCCCATGAAGTGCTTCCCCCCGGCTGCATGCGAGGGCGCGGGCACGGTCGGGATGCACTTGGAGAAGAGAAAAATTTGCTGCAGAACAGGGCTGCTGGATAACGGCCCAACACTGGAAACACAAGCCTTACGACCTCCACGCTGCTGCACGTTCCAGGGCGACGCTGGCAGAGTCAGAAAAGGTAGTAGACAACTGCCCCACATCTCTGTCAGAGAGGATTGTAACGGGGACTTCTCAGTCAGAAATGGTTTAACTGAACAAAGCCAGCTTGTCCTCAATACTGATTAAATGGAGCCTGAGCCAAGAATAGGGTTTTACGGACAAAAATAAGATTCTGATTCACTTTCCTGGGCATTTATGATCTGTCACAGCAATGACCACAGAACAATAATGACATCTTTGCAGCTTAACACCCTCCTTAGAAGCAGATAAAAATAGAAAATGGTTATTATTGGAACCAGTCTTCCAATTTATCGTCCGGTCCTCAAAACTACTGTGGCTGCTCTATCCCTCGCATGAGACAGGGCTACAAGGAAACGATCAAAACAACACAAGCAAGAGCCACATTATACCTGATAAGAGAAAAAGCCAAGCACTACTTAAATAAAAAAAACCCCACACTTTTCTTTAAACCGCCGATATCCTACTTGCTGCCCTGGTACACTTTGATCAACTACTCAGTCTCCACATTACTCAACTCGCTTCTACGTGTGTTACCTCCTTCTTAAAAAAAAAAATAATAATCATGGAGTCAACCTAGAGCTAACTCAAGCAAGCGCATCAGGACCAGCCAAGCTTAACTCTATCACAGGAAAATTGTTCCCATCTTAAGCATGGCTTCAAAACTGTGTGATGCTTTATAACAATTTCTAATGAAAAATGTGCGCTTCAGGATGTCACATACTCAACGTGAATCAAAGCCAGTTCAGACCAGCACTAGAAATAAAATTGCTATTTGAGAGCTCCAAAGAGGATCAAGGTTTGGTTTTTTTTCCCTTTAACTTCTGACATTTCATTTTTACAGGAGTTTTTCAGAAGTAGGGCAAAACCTAAAATATTTGCATTCCATTAAGCATTGTACCCATCCTAAAAAGTCTGGGCAACGTGAAAAATAATAAACAGAAGACTAAAATCTATCAGTACTATTCTGGTTTAGTAACTCCTAACAAAACATACCAGCCCGTATTTATTCCTCAGCTCTCAACTATACTGGTTATCACATCTGTAAGCACTGAAACCCCCAAAGGAAATCAACTGGAAATGTCATTACTTCAACACTTCAGAGTCCTAGAATAATTTATCGACAACTTTGTGAAAAACATCTTGCTAACACCATCTCCTCCAGAAACACTAGATGAGGTCTGTTTTGTCAACAGTACATCTTCTTGGGTTAATGATGTGGTGACTGCAAGAAAAAAAACAAACAAACCAACAAAAACCCAAACCACAAAACCCCTGGCTTAAATTATTAAACTAAAAATACATACCATATTATCCAGTATACAGCCATTCTACTAAAAAAAAGCAGATTTCTGTCTAATTGGAACAGTATGCCAGGTGTTAGAGGAGAAAAGCGAGGTAGTAATAAACAAGCCATTGTCAATGAAAAGCCATGCAAACACAAAGCTGAGAACTACAAGCAGAGCTTTTCAATTCGTGTTTGAACAGGAAGACCTTCGTAACAAACACACATCTAAAACACAAGAGCAAATAGATTTGGAGATGTGGAAAGATGAAAAATAACTTCTGGTGAATGAACCGTCTGTGATAAAAATCAAACCACAGGTTTCTATTTTTAGAGCACGTCACTCATCGTACTGATACGCTGCAGAACGATTTAACCTAAAATTAATCAGAGGAACAGGAGCAAGTGGAGGACGCCTACCCGGTCACACCTACTTTATTCCACTCTTGTCAGCCAGTGCCAGACTGTTCCACAATGGGCATATTCTGCTGTTGGAACCAATCTGCCTTTGCTTTTGGCAGATTACTCTACAGTCTAATGGATGCTGCTATTTGGGAGCTGCCCCCATAATCACAACCAACCCAAATTTTTCTTCCAAACTGTTTTTTCTTCCCCCATTGCTTCTCTCCACGCTCAGCATTTGCAACCACCACCACAGATAGCTCGCTCGCCACTACTCGCTTGTAGTTCATTGATGGAGGCAGGAAAGCTGTCTCGGTTTTAATTTAGCAAAAATAAAGAATTGTGTGGGTATTTTTAAGAGGCCAATACGAAAGTAGGCACTATTAATAAACCCGCTTCCTTTCGCACCAAGTTAGGGTGTCCCACTTGAAAACAGCAGAACCTAAGCAAGAGTTTACAGGATAAAACAGGCCCAGCAGGAAAAATTACAGTCAAGTGTGCGCCCCACTGGAGAGCACTGGCTGCACTCCAGTACTCTGGACTGACCAGTGGCAACAAGTCTGTGGACAAAACCAAGAAAGAGTTATTGAGAAGTCAAGGGGGAAAGAAAACCAATGCAAAAATCAAAATCGGATGCACTGCCCAAATGAGAACTGGACCTGAGAATTTGCAGCAAGACTGGCAACAGCTTTGCTCTACATGACAGCCTAGAGGAGTAAGTTTTCTTGTTTTCTTTGAGCCACACACAGAACACAGCAGAACTGGCAGAAGCAGGCAGAAGAGAGAGAAGTTAAGAAGCAGTTAAGCAAGGGTTAAGAAAATCCAGACAGTCCTGACACTCGGATCTAGTACTGAGCTTACCAGTGACCTGTCTCTGGCTAATGGCAAGGAGAGACGAAGCTTCAGCTTTGGAACCATGAAGGGGCAGCACTTATTTAGATAGGATCCTCCTTACAGCCTTAAACGTTAAATGATGGAACAGAAGATGTATTTTCAGACTCTGTTGTGATGCTCTGGAAGAACTTCCTGCACCTTGTTTCTACAGGTGGGATTTAGGAAAAGGGCAGCCTTATGGAGCTATTTTAGCAGCATCAGATTTTTGTATTATTTTTTGTTTTATTAACTTTTTATTATTGTTCTTATTTTTTATTTTATTGTTATTTTTATTTATTACATTTCTGCACCGAAAATCCACTCCCTTGCATTAGGGGCACCCCCAAAATCTGCCTTGTTTTTACCTGCCTTTGCTGCTGGCAGAGAAAAATTGCCCTTCGTAGGATAACACACACCCCAAGCTATGACTTGCCCATAGGACATGTGGATGTATGAGTATATACATACACAGGAAGAAAAACCAGCTAGCATGCAAGAAAGCGTGCTTACTAACCCATTACTTGCAAGCCACGAGATACAATTGCCAATTTCAAGAGCGTTTTCTCCAGCATTTTATTTCAAAGTGTACTGTTTCCACATTAAAAAAAAAAGGTGCTGATGTAAATACATTTGGCCACAGAAGGGATTTTAGTGCCACAGGAGTTATTCTGCTGCAAGAGGCACTTAAGTTTCTCTCTCTCTCCCCCCTGCCCTCCCAACCTCATCTGTCAGCTCCTACAGGGTATTGCTAATTGAAAGGGGTCTACCTGGAGGTTCTGTCCACAGTACATCCCAAAGAAATGAGTTCTAATTGTATTCAAATAGTAGCTTTAATCAATAAAAAGGTAATTCACCAGCTATTGAAAAACTCTGGAACTGAATGAAACTGCAAACAAGATGAGACATCAGTAATGCATGAGGCACGTACAATTACAGTGAGACAACTATGGGTCAGTAATGGAGAGACTCAACTGAAAACAAAACACAAGAAGCAAGGCCTGTGGAAGCACAGAGTCCCTTACTTGAGGGGAGCTGCCAGGAGAGAAGCCTTGATTGGAGACAGGAGAGGTGGGAGACTGGTTGGCTGGGGATCCAGCATTACTGCGGTACTGCTGGAGTGAAGCCTACAGAACAACACAGAATTAAAGACCATGGGATTGATGGAAGGTTGGAAAATTATAAACTTCTGGCGTATACAGGTCGAGGAAGCTGGGAGAAACCATCCTCTTCAGCAGCTCTTGGCTATGTATGAAGACACGATTACTGTGAACAATGCCGCAAAAAGGAAGAGAGTTAAGATATCAGCGGGGCATGGCCTTGTCTGACTGAATGGCTGAGAGCTGGGCAGTGCTGTCGTACAAGCAAAACTGTTGAAGCATTTTCTCATTGTTCTCAGTTAACGTTCAATTAAAAAAAACAAAAAAAAAACCCAAAAAAATCTGGTCAGCCAACGATTTACAAAAAGTAAGTCTTGAAAGCTGGGAATAACTTGAAAATAATATAATTTATTCTTCAACTGCCATACCCACACATTCTTAACCTGTGTTTACACTGCTCTGGAAATCCTTCTCGTATTACTCTGCCTAGTCTTAAACAGCCTCGGTGTGTTATCGAGACTGAAGTGTAGAACCATGCAGCCTGAAATCCTTCTCAAAGCTGCATTTTACCCCAGGATACGGAACAGACATTGTCTGAGAATTCACATTATGTTTTGAAGGTTTATATTAATTATATTTACGTTGTTCTCAGTCGTCTTGAGAACACATTTTCGAAGATTTACCTTCTTTTAGTCATAAAGAACCCTGGATTTGAACAAATTAATAATCTTAATGGCATTTAAATAGAATGTTGCCCTAATTAACATAAATAGTAAGAACAGCTCTTCTCATTACACTCCTTTTGGAGGCTAACAGATGACTGAGGAAAACCTGCAATCCAGTAGTTCTATGAAAGGAGTAATTTAATCAGATAGCTCTGCAGCGGGGGAGAACGCTGTACTGCCAGTGCTTTCTGACACTGAATTCCGTACAGCTCAACAAAACGTGTCCTAACCCTTTTGGCTATGCATTCCTACTTACACACCTTAAGCAGATGTCCAAACTACAGCAAAATGAATTTCAATGTTGCTTTATAGAAACTAAGTAAAAGCTGTCAGTGAGGCTGTAACACAGCTCAAAAGGCTTTTCAATAAACTGGCTTTCAATTGAAAAAGTTTATTTATGTATGATTTCAGTTGTTTTAAAAGATAAGCACAGCACCCTAAAAGTTAAGGTCGTAAAGAAGTTTAGGATGAGGAAAGCAACACAGAAAGCAAAGACTGAAAAATCAGAATCATCTGTACTGGTAGCTACGTATTAGAATCAAAACACGGCCACATTTTGAGTGGGTCAGTGTCCTTCCCTCTTCCCCTTCCAATCCTGAAAGGGAAGCAGCTTCTTTCAAGAAGCACTTATCAGCACAAAGGGTTAAAAATTTCATCCACAAATTAAATTCACTATGAAGTGCTAGATCAATACACAATGATTTCTTATTCTCAAACCAGCTACTGTCACTACACACTGCCAGGAGGACACAACATGCCAGACAACCAAGATCCTACAGAGCAGGGCAGAATGAGCTGTAACATTCTTCCCTAACTGGTCTGTATAACCCTGATCCTGCTCTGTCTTTTGGATTTTCCTGTGCTGAGACAGACAGAACATTTCATAACAGACCATGTTAAAACAAGTGAGAAAAGAAATCTGTCCATAAATCACTGGGGTGTGTATGTATACACTCCAATTCTTCTGGGCATCAGAAGGCAGCCACAAATCCGATTTTTGAAGATAATAACGTATGCTCAAAAATTCCTTAAAGTGAAAGGGTTCTAAATATAGAAAGTATAGGAAGTACCTGGTTCTCTCCAACTTTTGGAAAATGCTTGTTAGCAGGTTTCTTTATCAAAGTCCTGCTAACGCCTCCAGTCTACAGCACACCGTGTAACACGGAACGTGTTGGGGTTGCACTGCATTTAACAGCCAGAAAACGTATCACTGCAACGGCAGCAGCACGGTATGAAATAAAAGCTGATATATTTAAGCTGGTCTAATCAAACACAGAGTCATAAGGGACACGGTTTTATGAAATTACGGCCACCCTCAGCGCAAATTAAACCCGGATTTTCCTCTATAAAACATTGAAATGTCAACCAAACCCATTCTAAGTCTACTTCAGACTCCGCCTAAGCGTAACACTTCTTAAGAGGGCTGTTCAGCTTGATCTCTGAGACCAGGCTGTCCGCTACCAGGCTTTGCAAGGGAAGCTCTACTGCCCTGAGCTGCTTACCGAGTTGATGTCTATTCCCATTGACGGTTGGGTCTGGCTACCCGGAGGTGACTGGGGGATGGAAGAAGGTACCGTGACGGAGAGTGGGGGGAGCTGTGTTCCTCGCTGTAAACCAGAGGTCTGCATTAAAGGAGTATTCTGAGGCAGTGTACTTGCCACCTGGGTCTGCTGCTGTTGCTGGGAAGTTGTCTGGGTAAAAAATGGATATGGGGGAAGCTGCTGCTCCAGAGACAATGCATCCATAGCCACGGCCTTGAAAAGAAGAATCAAAATCACCCATGTTGGCAGGTAACTCCCTTTATTTTTAAGAACATCAAGTTTCACACCAAGAGAACTGGACTATCTCATCTCGTATTTAAGAAATGTTACCTAAAGGTTCAGAAACAGTCAACAACATGTTTCAAAAGGCTCAATATCACCTCTAGTGTACAACAAACAAATAGTCTAAAAGTCCAGCCGAATGTCCAGCTCAGAAATTGATAACCCATTCAGTCACCCAGTCACACTTTCCAGATCAATTAAAAAAGCTAATTGAGCTTCTCTCATGAATTAGAGAAATGTCTTTTAAATTTCAAAACTAACTTTGGGACAATACCCTTATAGAAAAGTGTCCTAATAGTTGCTTTTTAACACGGTTCTAGAAAAATGAAAGTAAAACCTGTCCCCTCTACAAACCTCTCCCTTTTTAAGACTCTGAATTAATGAAAACATTTGAAGAAGAAAATTACTAAACGAAAGAGATGAAGTTACAGCCAGCTTCTCCCTAGGTAAAATAATAAATTCAAGCTTGAAAAATTTTAATTCTCCAAGTAAGTTCCTACCTGAGTAATTGGTGACAAAGGGGAAAGCGTAGGAGACATTTGCTGTGACTGTGGTCGTCTGGAGTCTGCGCTCAGGGAGAGGGGGCTGACGGCTGGCTGACGGTGCTGCTGGGAAGGGGCTGGCGTCGTCGTCATTCCTGCCAGGAAGGAACAAACCAGCTTCAACAGGAACACGGCACTGGTGTATTGATACTTGTATGGAGGTAATTACCGAAACGATGAAAAACGAATGGTGTAAGTGGACAACCACTTAATGCAAAGCGCTTGAATGCGCCTCAGCCAATCAGGCGGAAACTCGTTAGCTAATTCACAATTAATTTTGTCAGGCTGAAGAGCATCAGGATGAGAGGAAGATCCCTGTGGTTTATGCTGGACCAAAACCAGTCCTGGTTGTTCAGGTTCATGCACAAATATGGACTTGAAATTGAAACAGGCAGAGGAGCTTCAGGGCTTTACAGAAACCATGGGTATTGTTCTCGCACCCCTCCTGGGCTGCACACGTTGGACCTGGGAAAAGCACATCCTGCTCTCTTTGTAAGTGCTCAAACTTCAGGGAAAAGATAACAGATCATGTAACGAGGCTAATCAGAGGGCACCTGAGATATGGGAGCTTCCTCCCAGTCCTTAAAGGGGGCTACAGGAGAGCCGGGGAGGGACTCTATCAGGGGGTGTAGGGGTAGTACGAAGGGCAATAGTTTTTAACCGAAAGAGGGGAGATTTAGATGAGATCTAAGGCAGAAATTCTTCCCTGTGAGGGTGGGGAGGCCCTGACACAGGTTGCCCAGAGAAGCTGTGGCTGACCCCTCCCTGGAAGGGTTCAAGGCCAGGCTGGACGGTGGAAGGTATCCCTACCCATGACAGAGGGGTGGGACTGGATGGGCTTTAAGGTCCCTCCCAACCCAAACCATTCTGTGATTCTGTATTATAAAAGCAAACATCTATTTAGGAAAATGCAGCAGAAAAACTGGTTACACAGGAAGTACTCCATCTTTAACAGCATACCTGTGCACAGGAAGGCAGGAAATATCCTTCACATCTAAAGAGCCATGACCTAGGCAGGGTGTAGTGATAAACAATTCAAAGTATTGTAATTTTGTTCAAATTCAAGACAAAAATCTGGAAGTTTTGAAACCTCTCCTATTTTCTGTTTTACCCTAGAGGAACCGAGACACCCTGGAAAGTGATTTCAGGACAATATAGCTAGTGAGCTGTTCTTCCAGAGCTGCCAGAAAAGAGGAATTCACAAGAGCCTGCGAGCTCCTAGGCACTTGGCAAATGTTCAAGGCTTCCAGGCAGGCTGCCAGGGAGCCAGGAAGTCCAGGCTGCCAAGGAGCCAGCAGGCAAACTGGCTCAAACCGTGCAGATTCTGAAGACTGCCTGGCTTCCCCTGCCATGTTTTCAAAATCAACACCGTCTCACGGAACATGTCAGCGAACTGACAAACTCAAATGCACAAACGTGGAGCCTTCAATTGTTGGCTGTTCTTTGTAACCTGACAGGTGTTTGTTTCCCCACCTTTTCTTGGGGTTGCTGAGGACAGGCCTGTGCAACGCACAGAGCTCCTGCAAAACGTTCACAAGCCTTTACATTTTCTGCTAAAGAGCTAGAAAGAGAGGCAAGGACAGTTTGGACAAAATCAGTTAAAAACCCACCAAACACTGACTATGCCAATGATTAAACTATGGGATAGTCTCCAAAGAGAAGCAGGAAAATCATCAATGAGTGTTATCTTTTTTTATTTTGTTATGTCTTTGATAGATGAGGAAATGTTTTCAAAGCAATTATATACTTACTGGTTTGGGTTTACACCGTTTACTTTGCTAATTATGGGTACGGCAAAAAAACATAGCGACCCAATCTGGCCTAACTCCATGCAAGTAGGTTGTTTCTTTTTATACACAGGATAATGCTCTCAGCACAGGCTCACTAAGTTCTACTTGTGTGACAGCTCACCTCTGAAACTTTGTGTAGTTTCTTTTGAGACCAGAAAACTTGTTAAAGGATGCTGAAAGCTGCTGACCTACTCTGTACTCAAACGGTTAAGCTGTCTTCTTGCTTCATTCTTAAATATAACTGCTCAGTCATAACACGACATGAACCTGATTAGAATTATTTCCTTTTCCCAATATATAAGAGGATTTTTAAGTGGGTGAGGGAAGCCAGCCTAACACAGGAAATATAATTGTATTTTTGGATACAATGCCTCATTTCTATTCTAGGAATCGACTGACTGCAACTGTCACTGACAGTAAAAACATGCAACTCTTCACAACTATTTGAGTGAGACCCAGTGAAATTATTTAAAAAATAACAATCACCAGGCTATTTGCCCATACTGTTAACACATCCTGAAATCACCAGGTGACCAGCACAAATATTACAAATTACCACATCGCAAATAATATTTGTTTGTGGGTTCTTTTTTTTTTTTAAATAAAACTACCAGTATTGCCAAAGTCCAAAAAGCCCAGCAAACATAACTCAGACCTGCCGTGCTGAACTGCTCAAACAGATGCAACACTCGAGAAGAATCTGCAGCAAAAACTACGTGGCTTGGAAGGCAACAATTTCAACACAAAGGCACCACAGTGAGAGCTGTGAGAAATTCAGGTGTGCACTTGGTATCATTTCCTAAAGCCCCGTTATATTATGTAGTCTGTATATTCAGGATATTTTCAAAACTTAAGCAGTCAAGCTTACAAAACCTAGCATGCTTTGTAAAGTCTCTAACATTATTCTTGATTGTTCAAAAGAGAAAATTTGCTGCAGATGAAGCAAGCAATGTTCTCCCCCCAAAAGAATCCTCACACTGAAAAAAAGCCATTTTATAGGAATGAAAACAAAAGGCCTGCTGAAGATTTTTCATAACAGAAGTGCTGTTGGGGTTAAGTACAATGAATTACAAGGGAGGCATGCTTTGGATGCTAGTCTCTCCTTAAGTCCTTTGCATAAAATAAACCAAAAAAAGGCCAAAAAAAGACGATTTAGGCACCAAGAACATGAGAAAAATGAAAGACAATTTCCAAGTCATGTAACTAAATAGAGCTTTCTCACTTTTTTCATACAGAAATGGCTTGATAAAACTCGTTTACAAAGAAACGTTGATCAGGAGTGAAGTGGAATTACCTCTCAGACAGAACAGTACTACCCAGCAATGCGACTTCCAGAATTTAAGACAAATCACATATTATGGACAATCTGTAAAAACACCTGAGTTATGATCTTACCCTGACTGGCAGTGCTGATGCCCAAGTGAGTCAGATTAGCAGCAAGATTTCCGGTACTATTGGAGCTACTCAGGGCTGGGAATGTGGATTCCTCAGGATCTAACGGTGTTGGGAGAGGGGAAGGGAAATGGATGTTTGTCAGGTCTGGCAGGGAGCCACCTGTGTTATGCGTAGCAGGAATCAGTGTTGTAGTGTTTTCCTGGTCAGCTGATGGAAAGATGCTAAATAAGGGAGAGAGGGGAGGGGGGAAAAAAAAAAAAAAAAAAGACATCTCAATTTCAGCCTGGACAGATCTTTATAAAGTCTTTTTTAAAAAGGAAGGTGCTATATACAGAACTAGATATTGTCTATCTGATAAACCAGAGATGTAATAGCCAACGGGTCACTCAAAGAGGTTCTGGCTTCTCTTGTATCTACTTCAGTGCTCTAGTGTCTGAGGGCTTTTCAGAAAACTCAAAAGCAAGAGGACGTTCAATATACAATGTTCATTCTTAAAGATTTAAAAAAAAAAAAAAAAAAGTTGCTTAAAACTTACTTGATTCCTGGAACTTCACATGATTTAGGTCTTGATGACCCAGTCTAAAACAGAAGGGAGACATTTTTAAAGGCAAAGATAGTGCTAGAAATTAATGCTTAGGATATATTTCAATTAGTAAGTTTTATTTAATACATTTCCACAGAAGAGCTATTCTTCAACACAAGAGCTCCGTGAGGCTCTTAGAAGATATTTGTCACCTTTTTTGCTTTATTGACACAACAAGGCTTAAATTTAAAGAGTTTCTCCTGATACAATCATACGTCTGCATGGACACATAGATCTAAAGTGTCTAACATTTAGTGATTTGTTGCTAAATACAGCACCTCTAATCTCTACAAGTAGTTTGGTTTGGTTTGACAATACTTAGAGCATTAATTTACCTAAATAAATTTAGAAAATAACATCTCTACACTTTGAAATGTAAGATTCCTACCTTTTTAGTGTCCCATCCCTGCTTAGAGAGGGTTTTGTCTGCCTCAGAGGTGGTTTCCTCCATTCCAGGGACAGTCAGTAATAAAACTAAAAAAATGAGAACAAAAGGAATGGTATCATTATATTAAGCTTCTCAGTAAGAAGTTTTCAGATTAGGAAGTTTAAGCATTTGAAAGCTCTGAAGTAACCTATTATCAATGAATATGAAACAGTGGCACTCTAGTGTTATGAGATCAAAATTGTTAAAAAAAAAGAACACCAGAAGAGACTAAAATTTAGTATTTAATTAGCAAGGAGACATTATCGGCTTCCAAAAAATCCCAAATAATGCTTAAAAAGATCTGGCCTCCAATTTAGTCTGCTTAGATCTAAATGGAAAGAGCGTATCTTGGGACCTGGTTCCTCCTCTCTCTTGGATTTCGCACAAGCGACGTAGACCCAGCACACCGAATCGATGGCCAGCAGGACAATTCCAGGGGGGAAAAAACCCAGATCATCTCCCCCAGGATAGAGAAACGCTATAAAGCTGGTACTTCTCCATATCCCAGGCACATTTGTTTGTTCAAAGTGGCAAACAACTGTTTCATCATCCTAATAGCAAGGTGACAAAAAAACATCCAAAGAAAGCCCCATCAGCGAGGTGTATCAACAGAAGCCTTTCCCACTGGTGACTATAAATCTGTACTTATGTAATCCTGTTTAAGATGATCGTTATTTAATGTTTTACAGCTCTAGAAATAAATGGAATAGCCTCTGAATGTTGCACATTCCCCTGTCTCTGGGTGGCTGTTTAAGGATTATATTTCTCTACACAGATTTAAGAGTTTTTCATGTATTTCTTGAGCTGACAGCGGGAACAAGGGCCAGCAGAGGGCACCAGAATTGTTAGTGCCAGAGGGCTGTGCTGCTCCAGCTTGTAACTGGAAATGTTATCAGAGCACTGTTTGTAAACCTTGCCTCTGCGGGTAGATTCACCAGCGACCTCAATCCCATAAATAAAAGCTAGATTAAGTCTTGCTGCTTTACGATATTGTATCACTGACCATGAAACGCCTGTCATCTCTACACTTGTCTAGGAGTTACTACAAATGGCAAACCTCTAGTACTGCTGAGGGCAGTCTAACCACCAGAGTCCCCCAAGCCCAGATTAATTTTCCCCGTAAAGCAAGGTCTTAGAAAAACAGAATATGGGGTTCAGGAAAATGTTCTATCTCAGCTTTGTATAACCTTTTCTGTATTTCAGTACCCAGAAGAGTACAAGTGGTCCTTTGTTCCTTTGTTTTGTAACAATCTACAAAGTGTTATGCACACGCACATTTATAGAAAAAGATGAACTCCAATACACATGGATATAATCTGAGTAGAATGCTTTGAATGTTACAAATATTTTTACTGTTTACCTCTTTTCTGCTGCATGTCCTGTGACCCTCCTGAGAAGGATTCTTGTTGTGTTGGAGTCATAGTACTCTGGTGCAAGGCAGAATCAGAATTTGTCCTGAAAGGCCAAAAAAAATTTTTATTGTCAGTTTCTCTAAATAAAAGAATGCTTAATCTCAGATAAATGTAACCAACTCAGTGAAACATGAATGTTCTGCATTAAAAAACCAAAATCTATACATGGCATACACCAGGCATAATTTCCTTGTGAAACAATCAATTCGCGGAACAAATTAGTTCAAGTTTGAAGAACAATTGTTTCATTAATGGGATTGAGAGGAATACAGGATAAATTAGTTGCCGTCGTTAGAAAATAATTTGCTAAGATTTGTTAAGATTATGCATGATCAAGTGACGCCATTTTCAAGCTGAAAGCTGCTTATACATACTTCGGTTATACTGGTCTTCGAAAAGCAAGCAGCCCTGTTTCACAGGGAGGCAAAATGACTGGTTCAGGGTGCAAGTATGTCGTGGAGATGGGAACCTCCACGGGCAACACATCCCCCGTGAGGAGCCGTCCTTGGCGGGGGAATGTAGGCCACCACGCAGGCACCCCAGCACCTCGAGTGGCAGGAGCACGAGGGGTAGGAACAGGCAACTCAGTGCTCCTTTTCACTCCAAGGCCTGCGAGGACAGACTAACCCAGTTTCTGCACAGTGAGAAACATCCAAGTCTCTTACAACTCAACAATTCTGAGGTATGCCTTGGAACATCTGGCAATATTTACCTTTGAAAAGATCACATTAGCTGACACACCTTAATTTTAAAAGCGGGTCATCTAAAAGAATAAGCGTAATAGAAGAAAAAAATCAATTTCTAAATTCAGGAAGGCACGGCAATTCAGATGACCAGCTGCTGGGGGAACAATAAAGGCCTTTGTTGCACATGAAAGTGCTGAAGTATCAGAGAATGCAGCCCAGCTACTAACACATACAGCACAGGATTGTGCTACCAACCTTCTCCAGCTCGTATCTGACGGAGGTGACAGATACACAGTGCCATACGGACAGCTGTCCACGTGATTCCATTGGTTAAGGAGAACAACTCCACTTTCTCACTTAAGTAGGAGGCCTATTTGTAAGCTTTTCCTACAGAATAATTCAAACTACCCTGTCAGAACCACTAAGCTCAGACGAGAAAGGCAAGCAGACTCTCTATGGGGACACCCCAAGTATTATCTGGATTGTTGTAATGTTTAAGCAACAGGACAATCATCCTCCTTTTCCCCTTCTGAGCATCTAACTCTTCCCTGAGAAGCCATGGTCTCTCCACTCTCCCACTCACACATCCCCTTTAGCCCCATCAAGCCAGTCTAAGTGCATCACATTTTAAGCCAGTCAGAAATAATAAGTTAATTCATTTTCGCAAATGACAAGAAGAAATAGCACTTGGCAAATGCTAAACTGATGAATCAACTTGTAATAAAATATACAATGAACTGCAAAGAATGATTCTGTTGGATTTATTCAGTCCTGAAGGGTAACTCAGTTTTACCAAGACTGCCTTGCCTTTTCCATCAAAGGATCTCAGTCTCTCTCAGCTTCACATGTATCATTATCTCCACTCAGAGCTGAGGAAACAGAGAAAGGTAAACGCTTACTTTACAGAATAGTAGGTATTTATAGACTAGATCACAGTTCAGAAAAAGCTGATGACATTAAACGAGATGGGAAGCAACTCTGCTGACAGGTGAGGAGGGGAGGAAGAACGGGACTGTAAAAACTGAAAACTGTGAGACTGTTGAAAAGGAAGGCGTTCGCTGCCAGCTCACGAACCAAAGGATATTTGTCTTCCATGTTTATCCACAGAGAGAGGGCGTCGATGCGGGGAGCCGAGACGGTTTCTGTCACGATACACTCTGTCCACCAGACCATGATGTCGAGTTGTTCTGCTTGTGTCCAACCCCGACGACTGAAAAGGAGTCTGAGAGACACACATGAAATTATAAGCAGAAAAATACACGTGCAAGCAGTCTGCCCAGAAGCTATTCATACTGTATGCAAGGCTGTGTTATTCTAAGGAATGAAACTCAAAAAAAAAAAGAGATGGACAAGTGTAACCATGTACATTTTCCCTCCACCACCGTTTTCACTATAGCCATGGAAAGCAATTACCAAGGCTATCTCTTCCAGACAGAGATTAGAGACAAGTGGAGGCAGACCATGCTAGACCTGCCCTCTCATAAATCAGCGCTGCTCTCCAACCTTCATATCTCTAAAATCCCACAAGTGAGTGTGGCAGGGAGCCTACTGACAGCGGCTGTTTACATTCCCTCGGCGTAGCATGCAGCATGCATCCAGAAGGAACATGCTGACAACCAGAGCTGAAACTACAAGGGCAGGAGATGCAGGAAGAAGATGCACAGTGAGCCTAGTTCACCAGAACACGCCGTGTTCTCTCAAAACTTCCTTTCACCCCTCCTTTCAGCGTAATTTTTTTAAGGGGACACTGAAAGAAAAAGAAAAGCAGTTTCCTTCCTCCTCTGTCTAGAAAAAGTTACAGCATCCAATGGGTTTTTTAGGTGATTTTCATCTCATTCAGGTTGCACAGCGAACCAAGGTGGGTTGATTCCACCTTGAACCTTATCAGCGCCAATATCTTGAGAGCAAATCGTTTCAGAGAACGAGGATGGCAGAGAAAGGACAGGGAAGATGAATTCCCAGGATAAATGGGAAAACTTCTACATTTTCCAAAGCCCTTCCCAGCATATACCTGCGGGGGGGGAAAAGGAAGTACCGAACGGTCAACCTCTACTCAGACTTCAACAGCAATATATGGGTCTCTGGGGAAAAAAAAGCTACACAGTCTTCCACTCCTTGCCAATGTGAACAGCTTTGCTGAGTCCCTCAACACCATCTGTTTGGAAATCCAAAATTTCCTCCTCCATTCAGGTGCTGCACGTGGCAAATGCACTGTCCTGTCTGCCAAGCCATGAAACCATCTGGCTTCCACATTTCCACATTATTCTTTTTTATTTTTTTTTTTCCCCCTCCAAGTGTCCAGCTTTTGCTGTTTAAATTACTATCTAAAAAGTTTTACATTCATTTTTAAATGCGTTGTAGTAACTTTTTAAAGAGTCTTTCTACTATTTTAAACTCTTTTCTATTTAGCAAATATTAGTCTCCTGTCCCTCTATGCACACATAACCTGTGTATATAAATGGATGCAAAGTGGATGTGGTGTTTATTTTCTCGTTCCAGAGCCAACACTTTATATTCAGCAGAATATTGCTTAAGTCAACATGGGATTAGCAAGAGAGCACAGTGACTTTTTACTGTACTCTCAGCCATTAAGATCACAGTGTTTTGCTTCAGTTCCTTAATAACTTTCTTCTGTGAAGACTTAGAAACCTCAAGTCATAGCATCTCAATTTTAAGTAATTTAAATTAAAGCATGATGGTTTAATCTCTGCTGAAAACATTAAACAACAATCTAGTTTCACCTAACTGGCACCACACAGAACTGGGAATATTCATAAATCAAAAACAACAACAAAAAGGTCTCACTTTTCCCTGTATTTTTGCTACATCAATTCTACCCCAAAGGCAGGAAAAATTGCAAATACATGCGTGCTTGGAAGGTCAACAGGAAAAGCAATTTCCTATGCCAGTGGTCTCAACCACAATGTTACTAAAAAAGGAGAAGCCAGTCTGAAGCATGTAGAACACAGACCTCACCTGGAATTTAAGAGGAAGCTAATGCATCTGAGTACACAGACAAAAAGTTGAATGCAAGAATAGTTATTCCTTAAGTTTTCCCTTTTTTTGGCATAACTTCCATATTAAAAACACAACAAAAATCTAATTTGAGTGCAAGAGTGGCACAAGTAAACATGGACCAAGCCCTGTCACAGGGCTACAATTTATAGAGCAAGGAATTTTTGGGTAATGCTGTTATCTGGCTTTTCAGGAACAAAGATCCCAAGTGAATCCCTAACTTGCTTAGGGAAAGCAGAAAAGAATATAAACACTTAAGAAAATGGCTATCACCTCCAACAAGTCTGGTTTCCCTCAGCAACCATCCCATGAAACTTAGTCTGGACCAAACACCAGGCAAGGTGCCTTCATTAAAATCCAACCCTGCAGGGCACGTGATACTTAACTACAGTAAACAACTGTGATTAAAAAAATTAAAAAAAAAAAAAACAGATCCCAGCATCAATTTTATTTGGAAAATGAAGAACTAGAACTGCTTCTCTCCCATGAAAAACATTCAAGGATTTGAAATCAGAACCAAAACTCCACAAAACATTAAATAATTAAGCTAAATACTCACAGACAGGAAGGAAAAAGCTCAGTGCTCTAAAGCAACAGTGTCCCTTTAAGATTTATCAAAAATAAAAACAAGCAAGGTGGATGAGGGGGAAAAGAGGAGTGGTACCTACTGACAGTTTACGTTTCGGTGCCTCCTGGTGACAAGCAGCATTTGGGTAATCATTGTGCCTTTCCCGATGGAGTTTTAACATGCAAGCTAAGTGCACATGCTCAGAGACTGCTTAAATCACAGGCCAAGACAGTGCCAAATAAACCACCGTCTGCATCAACTTAATCCCCCATAAATCATAAGTAATCACATGACAGACCATAGCAAGTCCAGGGAGTCTGTACAGGAATTATTATGCATGTTCCAAACTGGGATGCATGGCAAAACCTGTATTTATGTGACAGACCATAACTCCTTTGGAGCTGGGACGGTGAAATCAAATAAATACTGTGCATACCAGAAAAAAAAAAAAAGTGTAACATGTGCGAAAATACGTATCTACCTGGGCAAACAGTACGCCAGTCCTAAATACGTATTTGCACAAACCTAAATACTTGTTTACCAAAGAGACAGGAACTGCTCCAAAGGCTTCTGCCAGAGCTCCGTTGTGCTGTAAAATGCAAAGAACCAAGATTCTCAGACACTAAGGCTCTCACCAGAGACAACCAGGATTCACCAGTATCTTTTGGCAATTTCATCGTATTTTAGCTTAAAACTGAAAAACCTGGAAAGCATTCATGGCTGATACAAATACCTGGGTTTATTTTGTTGCTTGCCACCGTTAGTTTCAGGACTAAAAGAGTCTATGCATCCATAATGGCCATCAAGATAAAAATACTGAAATACTACTGCTTAAATACAACAGCAAATAGGAACCTCCTTAACAAGAAAACTGAAGAGAAAAATCTTGAGGAGACCAGACACTTGTGGAGTAATACTAAGGACTTCATACCATTACAAACCTCTGCACTGTGTTGCCTAAAGGCAACCAGATTAAAATAGACATTTGCTTCTCCTCTTGCACAAGGTTCAAGGTTTTAACCTCCACAAATTCAGCTGTCTACATGTATTTCAAAAGGCATAGTTAGAGGATGTCATCAATAGTTTCACCATATTTATTAAGCCAGCCTTCATCAGCAAACCGCAAGCTGCAACATTTAATTCTTTCCACATCCTTGTGAGATAAAATGTAAATGTTACAAAAGGAAAGGAAAACTAATGCAAAAATTTTAATTATTTTGAGAACCTTTAATCAACTAACTATAGAAATCAGGAGTCCCAAAAGTATCCTATCCCCTAATCATATCCACTGTACAACATCTTCTGTCCAAACAGGCTTACTAACAGCAAAACATTCACATAAATTTTCTGTTTACAGTGCATTACCTCTGGAGTCACAACAGTAGGGGCAAAAAAACAAGCCAATACACCCCTACATTTACTTTACACAAAGAAAAGTGACTATTCTGATACCAGTTTGTGTCCCACTCCCCCTTCTCCTCTCCTAAAATCCATGCATTACTCCCATGGAACATGCACGCCACCGCCGTGTACCTTCTTCCACGCCATCGTGCCTTATTTGCTTCCACTTTTGCTTTGAGCCTCCAGTATCTTCACAGAAGCTTTTATTATGAATTTGGTACTGAACAAAAAAACACCACCACCACCATAAATATTCACTGACAAAGAAGTGGCATCGCCTCTGCCTATTCCTGACACAAAAGCATCACGACCGGGGACTGGAGAACTAATATCTAACACTAGATATATCCAGTACAAAAATATCCACACATCCCATACACAACTATGCTCCATTCCAAAAGAGCAAAAATTTTTAAAACTGTGATCTGCTGAGGCTGTGGTGGTATGTTCTGAAGCAGAAGCTAGTTCATGGTCTCCTGTGAGGAAAAAATAGCATCCCATCACAGCATTAATCAACAGCAACAAAAAAGAAACACCCTATTAAACTCACCTGGAAGGGGAGATCCATGGCACTGTTTCCAATCTGATTCACATTTGGCAGTGACCCACCGTAGTACTGGCCACGACTCTGTCCCAGTTGCAAATATTGGGTTTTCTGCAGCTGTAGCTAAAAGAAAAGGAGGAGGAAAGTGTAAGGGCAACTCGTTTATTTTTCAGCTGTTTTAACTGACTTGACACCATGTCCGTTATCACTGAGAACAGATACCATCTATAAACAGCGGGAATTCAACTTCTGCGAGCGAACGTCAACCTTCTCCACAAAAACACAGTTGGCAAACTGCCACGCTAGGTCTTCTGTGACAGTGTAAGGTGACGGAAGAAAAATCAACTCCACAGTCAGCGATCGTATTCGATTTCTAATAAATAACCACCACGTGAAACCACATGGTTCTTATGTCACCTGCTGTTCTGAAAACCAGGACGTGTAACACCTGCGTCAGTCTGCTCATGACTGTAATATCAGGGTTAACCAGCTGGTGTTGTGTAGTGACATACAAATAAGAAAGTCATCTTAATTTAGTATATTAAGGATACCATTTAACGAAACACTCAACCTTGTAGCAATCTAGGTAACAGAGATATTACAGCAAGTTGTAGCTTTCCACCATTAGAAAAATATTTTGGTTTCTTGCACCAGGAAAAGCCCGGTAGGAAGGGCAGGCAAACAGGTTTTCAAAGAAAACCCAACTAACTAAAGAAAAAAAACAGCAAAGAATAAATGTGACAGTTTGCAAAGTTTCAAGAAATGCCAGGTATCACTCCTCAGTTCTGAATGACACCTCTCTACTAAAATATTCTAGTTTGCTTTCCCACAGTCGCATACATTTCTGGTGTGCAATAAAGTCATTTCTTTTCTCCTCAAACATCAACTTACTTTCATCATCACTTCTTCCAGGCAACTATACTGTCTCAACCGCTCATTAGTAAGAGCTATGGGTTTTGATTAATCTTTTGTTAGTGACCTTCCTCATTTTTTTTGTTTATAGCACCAACATTTAAAATAATTTCTCAATTCTGTAGTGTTGCCACAAAACACAGCTCGATTTAATACCACGCTGCCACCGAAGACCTATTTTAGACTGAGGAAACAGAATTTGTAATCATCTGAACACAACAATCCTGCTCCCAGGGATGCATCTTCCAAGGACTCAAGAAACTACAATTAAAGTAGCAAAGAAATGAGCTTACATAAGTTTCCTCTCCTCCCACTGTGGAGGAGTACATATTTTATAATGTATGTTGTTCCTCACTAGATGTCAACTGGCTGTTTTTGCACTCTGAAATGCAAGAACATTCCTAGATTGGTAGCAAAGAATTGTTTAAAGACTAAATGTTCAGATCTTGGACTAGATGCAGGTTGGTTGCTAAGGTACTGTAGTGTGTACATCAACAAATCTGGTTTAGTTTCATTCAAAGAGATCTGAAAGCCTTCGCCTTGTAACACCAGAATTTTGAAGAGCAAAGTTTGGAAAAGTACTAGAAAATGCGGCATCCCCAAAACTGGATGTTTACATGGGTTTTTAATTTACACTTTCTTCACGCAAAGGAAATGGCAGGATGGAAAACGAGTGGCTCTGCCTCTACAGCTTTACCACAAAGGCCTTGAGGTTGAGTGAAGATGTTTCTAGCAAAGCGAAGGAAGAGCGAGCTCTTTCCGTGCTGACAGCGCGATCTACGCAGAGTCCTCTGATAAAACAGTAACAACACCAGCAGGGATGCAGAGCGGGGCTGACAGAGCAGAGCAGATACCACGCTGAGAGCACCAAGATAGGATAGAGAGAAAAGGGACCAGCCTGTTTGTATCATGCCAACACTTTTGAGTATATATATTAAAATAGTCCCTGAACAGAGGAGGAGAAAACAAGATCATCCTGAGGAAAACGGCGCATGTGTACCTCTGACTTTAGAACTAACCCTAGGAAAGCAACTCAAACACCCTTTATTCACACAATCTCCCTTAGAAGTCATCAATTTCTAAACACACAGCCAAAATCTTGATGCTTTAGCTGAGGGACCGAATTAATCCACAACTAACGAGACAGCTCTTAGAGATGAAACCTCTCTACGGAACGGGCACACTCAAAAGCCTCAATTCGGGCAAGACACCAGTCACAAAGTGGCTGATGGGTTTGTGGGTTTTTTCTTAACAAAAGGACAGATAAATCCCCTCAGCCCAAAGATCTATACAATATTCAGTGTGCCATTTCAAACGGTTCAAAAAGATCCCATCTAAAAAGCTTTTCTTTCGCCATCTTTTGACACGCAATTACGATCCAGTGCTCTCTAAGCAACACACGAAATTAGAGAAACGCTCCGCGCTGGTATCACTTAATGAGTCACAGCCCCTCTAACTCATAGCTGCAGATCACTAAAAGCACAATATCAGAACTAGCTGTGCTTTTCGCCTGGTCCGTACATATGTTTTTGTTGTTAAAAAAAGGCTTGCTTGGGATTTGTGCCAAACACGGAAGTAACTATTTCAACAGGTGTTGGTTTCTTTTAAAGAACCTACTATAAGGCACCCGGGGAAGGAGGAGGGGTTGCTTTATGTTTTTTTAATGTTTTGGCCTTCCCCAGTATATACCTACCTCAGAGCATAATGTAACAGGGAGGTCGCAACCATTTGTCTTTCCACTGCAGTTAAACATGGAAATGAGGAAACACCAGAGATGGAGAACTAAAGCGGTTCTCAAAAACGAGCTTGTTAAATGGCTTTGCTGTATCATTAATTTTAGTAACGCTACCTTCAATAAACACTTCTGGAGATCCATGCCAAAAATAAGAAAACCGATTGCTTGTTATTGCTGTCATATATCATTACACCAGCGTGTAGATCTGTGTTTGTTCCGCTCTTCAGCCTTCTGCCTTTTAACAGCGAGCGGCCCCCAGACTACGTGGTTTATTGGAGACCATCAACAACTGCCACTTGCAATCTATGAAGATCAAGTGTAAGCAGAGCAGGCCAGTGCCTCAAATCTCCAGCTTTTCAGCTGGCAGGAAAGCATCTTTAAATACTGAGCCATTAGACCGTACTGTCATTCCAACTGGAGATCTCAAGGCGAAGCAGCTCAAGTTTTTCAAAGCAGAGGATCAGAAAAAAAAAAACAACACAAACCCAACCCTGAAAATTTTACTGTCATGCCTGAGATAACCCGGGACTCTGGAGTTTTACTAAGGGGACCTGAGCACAAAGAAAAGCAGCGCTGAAAATGAAAACAGACATCGGTTGTGACTAAAACCAACACTTCCTCTTTTTTTTTTGTACAACTACCTTGTGAGGTGAATTAAGTCTATTGCACAATTTGGGGTTTGGGGATTAGGTTTGAAGAGGGGGATTGTGGGGTTTTATTTTAAAAGGGGAAAAAAAAAAAAAAAGCCTTTTCTTAATAGAAAAATTCAGATTACTCTTAAAATGTTAACAAGTCTCATGACAACTCTAGCTTTAGCTCCTGGGGTTAGATTCAATTAGTGGAGACTTGCTTTCTATATGAATTTAGATAGTGAAGTACGATAATGAATTACTTAGTGCTCACCAGATATATTAATTTCTTGAACCATGAGAACTTCGTGACTCTACATTACAGCTTTTCCATTTATGTATTATGTGGCCAAGATAATAGCTCCCTGACAGTTGAAAACATTGCTAAATATTCCCGTTCCTTCCTGAGAAAGCTTCTGGTAAGGAAAAAGCTTTTGCTTGTTAAACCATTTCATTTCTGCTTGGCATTCTTGTTCAGAAGAAATGTTTCCCAAACAACAGATCCTAACTGAATCTGTACTTTTCCCTCCACCAGCATTTCTCTCATGCTACTTAAAGAAAAAAATTAAGATTTTAAGTTAAAATCCAATTTAATCGTTAAAGATCAAACACTTCAGCATAAGCAGTTTTCTAGCACAGCTGAAAACGTTCCCCAAATAAAAGGTTGGCACACTGTGGATTTATCATTTTTGATGTTAAAACCAATAAATTTCTGCAAAGGTACAAAAGTAACAATCTGCAAGACAGCAGCAGCATCTTTACAGCAAACGGGAAAGGAATTGTGACTTTTCCATGTACTAATTAGGAATTTGCAAGCAATTACTTTCTTAACTCAGCTAAGAGTTGAGTAACACGACATGATCTTACTCTGGTTAATGGAACTGGACACACACCACTTTGGTAAGAAATCAAAAATATTAGATTAAACACAATTACTGACTTGCTAACAATGGAACATTCTGCCAGATACAAGCTTTTGTGTGAACCCTCACACATGAACTACCTCAACTTTTCCATTTAGATTGGGTTAAAGTTTGCTGGATATACAGCTGTGTTTGCAGGGAGAGAGTCAAGTTATACAATAAATTTAAAAAAACAAAAAACAAAAAACATATCCCTAAAAGCATATCCAGTTTTCCTAGAGACTTTCTGAGTGTCCAAAATATGCAGATGGGAATCAAAGGAAGTATTTATTAAAATTCAACACTTCCAACTTCTCTAAATTCTTCCCAAAAAATTCTGGGCAAATTACAGATTTAGGGACAGAATTTAACTACACTCAAACTGTAAATTTGACACTGGAATTAAGTCAATCAAAATCCACCATAACCATTTCTTTTAAAATGTCCTTTTTAATACATAAAAATTTGATTTCCATAACCGTAATAAAAGGGTGGAGTGTCCGTTTGATAAAAACCCCAAAGATATCTGATGAATACAGGAAGTAAGATTTCATGATAACTGCTCTTTTGCCGGCTTGCAGTTTCCATACCAAGCTTTCTTATAAAGCTTTTAACTTTAGAAAGCTTTCTCTTTAGCATGTTGAGGCTAATAAGCAGTAAAATGAGCACAGATTAAAGTTAGAAATGTATTATTAAAACTTAATTGGAAATTAAATTCTGTTTAAAGGATTAACTGGAAGTTTTAGCAACTGCATTATAGGTAAATCCTGTTGTTCAAATCAGTTCAAAGTTTCCCAGTTGGATAAGTCTGAAATTTCTCAGGAAGGCTTTCTCCTAAAGCAACCAGAGGCAGGACCTGCCACAGAAGAGCATACACAGCAGACTGTATAAACTGGCTGAGATTGATTTAGCATCCTCAATAATATGTCACTGCTATTTTCTGATCTCTCCCTAGGAATGAACTCAGAGCCCAATTCTTGGTAGAAAGGTCTGCCTTGATGAAAAGGCACTTATATAACTATTTTTGGCCTCTCTTCAGGAAAGACCAAGATAGACCATAAAGACCAAGTGCCCTTTCATCCCCAGAACTAGACTTCTCAAGCTACACAGGTAGGGCAGCAAGAGAGAAACTTTCCAGGTCAAGTGTGCATACTCTGGCCCTCCTGTAAGGCAGCTTTCTCCAACATGGGATTAAACACGAAGTCAAACAAACCCTCAAGACAAGTCAGTTACTCAGTGGAATCCCAGTGGAAGTATTTTCTTCAAAGGGAGATTTCTTCCCATTCACAATCCTCATGTTGATAAGAAAAGCAAACACAGTCTTAAAAAGAAAGATAACATCAATTTAATGATTCACAGTTATAGCATTTAGATTTAGTGGCAATATAGCCGCTAGCTAAAAATCACCTAATTACACATCTAACTACTAAATTTTAAAGGTTCTTTACGTTAGTGTCCCAGCTGCCAAAAATTACCCAACAATTAACTAACTGCTCTGACTACCACAATAGTTTGGGTCCTCCCTTCCCTTCAAACTAACCCTTTTCTGTTAAAATTCTAAAGTTCATATTAGAATTTGAATTTTAAAAACTCTGCACTTGCTACCCAACCAATTTCTAAAATTAATATATATCAAAATAACTGCTCAGTTACTAAAACCAACCTCCATGAAAGCTGTCTAGAATTTATTTAATTAAATGAGGAAGGATTCACAAATCA